TGTTCACTGCTGTGTGTGTGCACTTTGGATGGGTAAATGCAGAGCACTAATTCCGAGTATGGGTCACCATACTTGGCCACATGTCACGTCACATAATAGCTAAAACTAACGTCACATTATTACTATTACTACAACTACTAAATGAAAACATAAAAATTACTCAAACTACAACTAAATTACTAAATTACTATGTCTGTCTTAATTTCTTCATTTTAAAACATTAAACCATCATTATTACTACTATTACTAAATGAAAACATAAAAATTACTCAAACTACAACTAAATTACTAAATAAAAATAAAATATTAATCGTAATATTTCGTAATATCGTTAATATATCGTATTAATCGTAATTGTAATATTTTACTGTAAAATAAAAAATTGAGTATTTAAGAAAAAAAAAGAAATTTCACACTACAACAGTAAAATTACATCATTAATATTTATGGCTGTCTTAATTTCTTCATTTTAAAACATTAAACCATCATTATTACCACTATTACTAAATGAAAACATAAAAATTACTGAATAAAAATAATAAAATATTAATCGTAATATCTCGTAATATCGTTAATATATCGTATTAATCGTAATTGTAATATTTTACTGTAAAATAAAAAATCGAGTATTTAAGAAATATATAATAATAATAATTGTATGTTATTTTATTGATTTGATTTGCTGGTTTGTCTGTGTAAATCTCACCCGTGACTCCTGAGATGGACTGTGCAATCCTCCACCTTCCCGAACAGCGAGAATCGATCTTTGAGATCCGACGGCGACATGCTTCCACGGATTCCTCCCACATACACCACCCTCCGCTCCTCCTGAGGATCAAACCCATCATCAGACACAAACACAAACACACACGGTCCAATATAACGCTTGTAGACCTACGATGGCTTTCTGCTGGCGGAGTTTACGAGCCTCTTCGTGTCGGCGGTTTAGCTCCTTCTCTCTGCGACTGAGAACAGCGACTGGTTTAGACTCACAATCAACACCAGAAGAATCGCACTGTTCTGCTGCGTTCACACTAACCTCGTCCATCTCCAGTCCGGCTCAGGAGAGCGCGAACCCGAACCCGAAGTTAAATGGATGCATATAAATTAATTATTAAATATCAAATTTGTGTTTTATTATATACTTTATTATTATATACTAAAATGATATTTTCATATTATATACTTTTTTTTATAATTTCTTTTTACTGTACTTTAGTGTCAACAGCTTCCATTTACCTTGTTCTGGGTGGCGAACGAGACATGGAACGAGATGATGATGAAGATGATGAAGAACACGAGGAGCATGACCTGGAACTGGAGCGCCGGTATCCGCATTCATAAGCCCGCCTCTTCAGCCTTCCGCGGTCCAATGGGCTCAGAGAGCGGGAGGAGAAGCGCAAGCCCCGCCCCCTCAGAGACTCCGCCTCCTCGAACGCCTCCATCCTGCAGGGGGAGCTGTCAGGAGACAGCAGCACCGAACCAGACAGCGAGTTTGTGTGCGCGAAACATGTCTCACTGCCCTGAATCCCGCAGTAGTCGTGGTCCAGGAACGCTCGAGCGGGATTCATCGCAGGAGTGAAGGTGGGAAGTGAGGGTTTTGAGTGAGTTTTACTGGGCGGCAGTGGGCGGGGTTCGATTATCTGAATGGCTTTGCTTGGCGACGGCTTGATGGATTCATGTTTCGTCCCTTTGACAGACGCCAGGGGCCTCCAGATCTGATGTGGAGGTGTGGCGGGTGGAGTTAGTCCTGGAGAAAATGAAGTAATCCGGTCAGTGACACAAGCACAGGCTAAAATGTTAATAATGGCATTATGTGCTAATTGCGCTAATGATGTATAAATCTCAATTTCACAAAATTGACCCTTATGACTGGTTTTGTGCTCCAGGGTCACATATATCAATACATGCGAATTAGAAGTCGATCAATACCTCTAATTCTGCTCATATGATAATGTGCTTAAAGATTAATAATGAATGAATGAATACTTGTAAAATCTATATAGCGATCAATAATCGCCCAGAGAGAAGCCAAGAGTGTTTTAATTAAATGCCAGATACAGTCCACTGTGTAACCAAAATACCAATAATATCCAGATGAATAGATTTTATACATTTATATGGGACTTTTAATTTATAAACAAGCATGAAATGCACCGGGACTCTTATTTTGAAATGTTTAATAATCACATTAAGCCACATCCTGTTTTTCAGTGATAAAAATGATAATTAAGACTTTTGCTATATAATTTAAGACTATTACCTTAAATTTGATGAAACTGACTTTTTAAGAACCCAGTTCTACAGAAAGTTATTCATTTATTTTTGCACAATATAAATTATATAATAAAAAGCAAGAAAATATGATTCATATACAGTGCAGAAAGAGACCCTTAAAGGCTTATTAAAAGCCTCCACCTAAACATTTAATTTTCACAAAGTTATAGACAAAAAAAAATGACAGAAAACCTCATTAAGATTTGTCAAAAAAAAAAAAAATGTCATTATGATTTGTCACTAAGTGCTTTTTTTTTTTTTTTTTATAAAAAAAAAGTTTTCAAAAGATTTGAAAAGTCACTAAATCTAGAACAATGGAGACAATAAATGTAAAAAAGAAAAAAAGGGTACAATATAATCAATGTTGCCTAATTTCATACTGTCATCACAGATATTCAATATATGAAATTTACATATATTTAAATTTTAAAGAAACAATAATGGTGTAATATCGTAAATATAATATCGTAATGTTCTCAAGAACTTTGAAACTTAATTTCAAAAGTTTGCGTTTTTAGGCCCCCATGTTTATCTGAAACATCATTCGTTCCCCGTTTATGAGCGGATTTCCAAAAGCCATTAAGCCATTAATGAAGTGCAGGGTTGATTATAATCGTCTCAGTGAGAGTTTAATGATTCTGCTTTAATAACACTGGGACCGTGTCCGTCTCTGACTGCTTTAAAGGTCCGAGCACTCCTCATATGTGCTGCATGCTGCCGAAAATGATTCTTTGTAATCATAAAATTAAAAGCAATGTCCCTATTTGAGTCTCAGATTTATGTGACTTGAACAAACCTCTAACATCTACTGACAGTCACCACTGATAAGCTACTACTAAATATTGTAGAAACTTAATTTGCTGTAAAGTTGCTTTGCAACGATTTGTATCGTGAATAGCGCTATACAAATAATTGAATTAACCTAAGTATAAGCAGTAGTCATTCATGTAGTTTTGTTAGCCATCTGTCTGACAGTGTTTGGTTACCGATGAACAGTAACTAGTGTTTGGCTACCGATGTAACTAGCTAGTTACTGTACATTGTTAACCAAACACTTTGAGACAGATGGCTAACAAAACTACAGTTGGTTCTCCATGCTAGAAAAAAATGGTTTTCTGGCAGCTCTGTTTTATGATCATTCAAATGTATAATTCCATTGTGGAAACGGATTCGAAAGTTTAATTTTATGTCCCTTTATGTACCTTTGCTATATCCCAGAAAAACAACATTTGTTCTGCAGCACTGTGGTGTTTTTCATCTTGAGTGCTTATCCAGTGTAGTTTGAATTTTTTTTCACCTGGTCATTTTAGACAGGTTGTCAGAAGTCTTCAGACAGATATCTGGTGATGAAATAAAAGTTTGGCATTTGTTTCCTGAGAGGTACAGAGACTGCTGGGATTATGTAACTCTGCAGATAAATAGGTCAACCAATAAATATCATGTGGTGTGATGGGTAGACAATGCATAAGCCTAAATTCATAAATCAGAGACAAAGAGAAATTAGAGGTGGTATAAACAGTATATAGCACACACCTTAACACCTTAGTCACTGCATGTATTCACTCTCAATTTAATACAACACTCCATTTATTTTATAACTATTTCATAACTATTTCTGTCTAATCACTGAGAATGTCCGTTGTTTAAAAGTTGTCTATTAGCTGATGTCAGCCGGCTTTGGAATCTACTTGGTGGCCTCCTTCTCTCTGTGTGTTAGAAGGATGTAAAGGTAGAGTAATAGAAGGACAGAAAAGTAAGAACGCTGCCAAGAGCTTTTAAAGGTCCCATGACGTGCTGCTTTTTGGATGCTTTTATATAGGCCTAAGTGGTCCCTAGTACTGTATCTGAAGTCTCTTTCCCGAAATTCAGCCTTGGTGCAGAATTTCAGCCACTACGAGCCAGTCCCACAATGAGCTCTCCTTAGGACGTGCCATTTCTGTGTCTGTAGCTTTAAATGCTAATGAGGAGGAGAAAGGCGGGGCGACTGCCATGCTTCGCTCGTTTGCAAGCCATGATGTCTCTCGAGGAAAAAAAAATATTGCGCTCACCTCGCACGGTAGTAGCTCATTTTCTCATGGGCGGGCCAAATTCTCTGGGCGGGCAAAGCAGAGAAAGGGGAGGTAACCTTTCCCCGTATGACGACATAAAGGGAAGATTCCGGATTGGGCCATCTGAGCTTTCATTTTCTCAAAGGCAAAGCAGGATACCCAGGGCTCGGTTTACACCTATCGCCATTTCTAGCCACTGGGGGACCATAGGCAGGCTAGGGGAACTCATATTAATGTTAAAAAACCTCATAAAGTGACATTTTCATGCCATGGGACCTTTAAGTCTGTGACGAATCGTCTTCTGCCCCGAGGAGACACACAAGTGAAAGCAAAAGGCAAGACGAGTGTTTATGGACTGAGAATGATTCAAGGTTGATAAAGCACACTGTTCTTATCTGACCTGATGTAAACGAGCTGATAGCGTCTATTCAATTACAGGCGATCATAAACGAACGTGCATTTATCATTTACCTTGAGTCTCAAACTGCTCCAAAAGGCTGGTCAGATCAGCGGCTTCAATTCCTGCAAAACAAACACAAATGTGTTATTTCAGTGCCGTGATATACTACTGTAGTTTCATAAATATTCTGAATTCGTGTTTGTTTTTATATTTTACATTTTAATTTAAAGTTTTAGTAATTTTGTTGTGTTTTTGTCATTTTTATTATTTTTTTTAATTTTTGTCTCTGTTTATTTAGTTTCTATTATAGTTTTCATTAATATTTTAAAATAATTTTTATATTTTACATTTTTATTCGTTTTTTTATTTTTGTCTATTTAGTTTCTATTATAGTTTTCATTAATATTTTAAAATAATTTTTATATTTTCCATTTTCATTTCAGCTAGTTTTAGTAATTTTGTTGTGTTTTTGTCATTATTATTAGTTTTTTTGTATAATTTAGTTTTTAATTAGTTTCAATTAGTTTTTATAAATATTTTAAAATAACATTTTTGTTTTATTTGTTTTTTAATTTTAGTTAAATCTTTAAGAATTTTATTGTGATTGTCATTTTTATTAGTTTTTTTATTTTTGCCTTTTTAAAATTAAATTAAACATATATTTTAAATAATTTTTTTATAGTTTCCATTTTTATTTTAATTTTAGTTGTGTTTTTGTCATTTTTATTCATTTATTGTCTATTTAGTTTCTATTATAGTTTTCATTAATATTTTAAGTTAATTTTTGTTTTAATATTTTCTGTTTTAATTTTCGTGATTTTGTTATGTTTTTGTCTTTTTTTTTTTAGTTTTTGTTATTTGTCTAATTTAGTTTTTATTAATTTTAATTATTTTAGTATATCAAGTTAAACTAAATGAAATGAGAAATGTTGCCCTGGCAACGTTTCAAGTAACACAATGTTTTTGTATGGTTTTAGTAAACGAAAACTGACCCTGCTTTGAAAGCATTTTAATTGACGAGCAAATCTGTTATTGTCTCTAAACATGGCCATATCTTTTTCAACAAGACGAACGGTCTGCTCACCAATTACTCCGTCACACGCCGTCTGGTTCTGCTGTCCAGTTCTGGGTTTGGAAGCAGATGTCACTGGCACAACCTCAGAGAGTCGAACCTCTTCACAAGAAACACAGACGTCTGGTTTCGAGTCTGAACCGAGCGGTTCTGAGGCGGTCTGGGTTGCGTTTATGCGTCGTGTGGGTTTCAAGGGCACCAAAACCGGGTTTGGAGGGTCGATGCAAAGCTCTACAGCCTTCCTGCCGTCTTTCCGAGAGGGACGTGTGATTCCCTGCGGCTGGGTTTTCACTTTAACAGCTGGTAATATCTCACCAGAAGGTGTGTTCGGATCCAGCTTGGGCAGGATTGGCGGAAGCTCCCTGGGAAGCGAAGGCCATTTGGTTCGAAAGTCCATCCGCTTCTCCTCCGGAGGTTGTTTGTTCTGTCTGAGGAGACGGTACTGGTCTAGACTGAGCGCTTTGGGCTTCTGAGAGGAAGTGATGTCAGTTTTACAGGATGTGGATTCAGAAATCTCCTCATCATCAGGTGGAATCTCGTGAACGGAGATTAGATTAAACGCAAAAGTCACCGTTTTCTTCACCCGCATCTTCACACCGCTGGTTTTGACTAAAGCGCTGCGTTTAGGCGTCATCTTAACGTTTCGCCCTAAAGATGTGACTTTTTCTTCCTGGCTGTCGGTATTCTGTGCATTTGGTTCTGCTTTTGGCTTCAAGTCTGGTCCATGTCCTGATTGGTCCAGCATGTGTTCCTCGTAACCTTCTACATCAACAAACTCCTCCTCCTCCTCCGCAGACACTCGCGTCTCTTTCTCCAGGTGTGTCCTGACGCAGTACGGATGCATGTGTCTCACTAAATCTGCAAGCAACTCACGTCCGTCCTGTGGGAATATGGGGTCGGATTCGATCCGGAAGGTTCTCACAGAGCGGCGCTCCTTCTCACGCTCGTCTCGCTGTGTAATCTGGGTCACTGAATGGCGACGGGGTCTCAACTGTCTGTCTGACATCACGACCTCCTGATGGAGAAGAAAAAACACACAAAACATTGAAACTAGAGGTCGAGCGATATATCGTTTTTGCAGATTAATTGGCACAATCTTCATCTTGGAACTGTGGTTATCGGGAAAAATAAGCGACAATAGTTGCTAGGGGTGTAACATAGGGCCGTATGAAATCTGTTTTATTTTTTCCTCCAAATTCAGTTTTTTTCATTTAAATTTTCTCTGTAAATTTTCTGTTTTCTCTGACTGTCGCACCTGTGGGACGCTTGGCGCTCTTTTATTTTGTTGTCCTTTTTTCTCTATCAAATATTTTAGTATTCATCATAAATTATATATCGCTTAGAAGCCCAAGATTCATCCTGTGAAAACCATTTTGAAATCGGACATTGCGTTACCATGGAAATGGTACTTTAAAATGGTTTGGCGGTCTCCTCCCCCTTAGTGGGCGGAGTCAAGTGTTATATTACAAAATGCATTACGGTCTTTTACAATCAAAACTTTTTATAATCTTCACATAAAACATATCGTTGGAAAGGTCTGAGTCTCAGGATTCCATAATTGGTTATTTTGTGATAGAAGCAAAATTGGCAGAGAAATTTCAACATATGTTACAGAAAAGTGCATTAAAATTTTTTTTAATGGAGTTTGGTGGCACCCGGTGACTGTTTGTGGTATAACGCCCTAAATAAAATCTCACAGGAACCTCAATTTTTTTCATATCAACTTCAAATTTGAAACATAACTTATTTAGACATAAGGCTTTAGTTTTATTTATTTAATTTTTTTTTAGCAATTTTAGAGTAAAACCTGTTATGTAAAAGATTTATTTTATATAAAATATAATAAAAATTGTACAGTGCATTTTCTTTACAGTAAATTTAAACTTCTAAAACTTTTTGATATTTTAATTTTTTGAAAGAATTCCACTTCTGCAATAATCTGCAGACTGTCATCTTTAAAAAGAGACCAACCTTAGGTCTATATTCCAAAGTGTTCATGAATTCTAACAATTTAAGTTTGGATAGCGCACTTTAATGCCTATTTTAAAAAATGGGGGGTGACAGTTAAGGGGTTAATGGCTAAATTAAAAATATTAATCAAAAAGCATGTCTTACACAATTTAACAGCAATTTATTACCAAATTCTGTGTTGTCCATTAATTTTCTAGATTCCATTTGAATGGTTTCATTAAATTTTAATAATCAAAAGCATCTCTAATTAACTTATTTTAGTTATAAAACAATTATTATTTTATTTATTTATTTATTTTTTCCAGAAATATTGTGTTGTGTATTTACATTTTTCTGGTAAATAATTGTACTGGTAAATATTCTTTAAAAAATTATGTTTTAATGATAATTTTATTAGTAGTAGTAGTAGTAGAACTATCATTACATTAAGTAATATATTTCTGTCACAATTTATTCAAGTTAAACCGAACTTTTATTTTAACAGGTTGCTGTGACGACCTTTAAGTTTCTGTTTGTAGATGATATTTTTTTCTCGAAAGAAATGGTAAAATGCTTATGAAGTGACTCTCAGAGCAGTTCTAGAGCTGATGTTCATGTGTTCCTTTCATTCACAGACACACAGAACATGCAGGATTCATATTTAAATAGTAGTTTTACGGCTTAATATTAACAGACACTAGTCCATATCGTGTTTTTATTTGAGTGTACTGACATACAGTAGTTTTGATTTATTCATCCACAATTTGGCAAATTCTGTAACATTCCGTGTTATACATTAAATTCCATTTTTGAGACTGGATTCCGTTATTCCGTCTGCATTCTCCGCATCGCGGAAAATCATAAGTAACAGTATAACAGTTGCCCTAGTAACAGTATATTTGCCCGCGTGGGCAGCTCTTAAAGTGACAGCAGTCTAATATTCTGTCCTTCATGTTAATCAAACAACAAGAGAGAAAATCTCTCACTGCTCTTGACTAAATCACTTTTCTAACTTTAATAAGAAGAAATATAGATTTAATTTACAGTCAAGAATATGCAGTGTTTTTATACATTTGATTACTTTATACAATATATGTAGCATTTCTTATTTATTTGTTCTGTTGTAGTTTTTTTGTCCTATTGCTTGTAATCAGTTTCTTATTCTTATTTAATTGCTGACTGTTTACTTGTCTTCAGTGAGGTTGAGCTTTTTAATTTAGGCTAGTATTAGTTTTTTTTTGTGATATTGTGAGAAGAATTATGAAATTTCTATGGTTTCAAAAATATTTATATCATAAATACCTTATTTAAAGCAAAAATTACTATATCGTGATATATATATATATATATATATATATATATATATATATAGATACCGTTAAATAAAATCACTCGTATAAGATAGTTGCTGAATAAAAACATAGTTTTAAAAACTTTGCTCTGTTTTTACAAAATAAACTTTTTACTTTTTTAAGTAGTTATGTGCAAAAGAAACAGAAGCAAGGTAAAATACATAGAATACGTAATATATATTTAACGTAACTATATATACTACTATTATATTATACTATTTCTTTTATATGAGGTAGATGGATAGATACTATTTATTTTATATAATAAGTATTGTACATGCCATTTGGAATTACGTAATTTATATATTTCATGACAATAAAATAAAAATCATTAGTGTGTGATGAAGCAACTATTTTTTCATTTTATTTATTTTGTTAATTACAAACAATTATCACGATTAGTGATTATAGTTAATTTTGTCATAAAGTTCAGCACTAATTTTCAATTAAACTACTGGCCAATTAATCGGTAATCAGCTAATTATTTAAAACTGGGCCAAAACCAGTATCGGTCAACCTCTAGATTCGACACAACTGAACAGAAGCTGCTCCAATAACAGTTTGATTTACACAAATATCTAGTTTGACTTCATCCGTCATCAGTGCATGAATCAGCTCAATAATGGAAAACGTACTCTTCCTGACTTTGCGGCTGGTGATTGAGAGATTTTGGGCCGATCCGGTGACGTCTGGCTCAAATGAAGCAGATTCCTGAGCTGTGACGGAAACACATTTGACAAAGTAAATATCTTAAAACACTGTATATACACTACCGGTCAAAAGTTTGGGATCAGTAAGACTTGTAATGTTTTTAAAGAAGTCTCTTCTGCTCATCAAGGCTGCATTTATTTGATCAAAAATACAGAAAAAAACTGTAATCTTGCAAAATGTTATTACAATATAAAATAATGGTTTCCATTTTAATATCCTTTAAAATATAATTTATTTATGTGATGCAAAGCTGAATTTCCATCATCATTACTCCAGTATAAAGTGTCACATGATCTTCAGAAATCATTCTAATATGCTGATTTATTATTAGAATGATCAATGTTGGCAAATATTTTTTTTTAAACTGCGATACTTTTTTCAGGATTCTTTGATGAACAAAAAGTTAAAAAGAACAGCATTTATTCAAAATATAAATCTTTGCTATCACTTCTTAAGGAGTAATGATGCTGAAAATTCAGCTGCGCATCACAGAAATAAATTACAGTTTAATGTATATTAAAATAGAAAAACGTTATTTTACATTGTAATAATATTTCACAATATTAAATTTTTTCCTGTATTTTTGATCAAATAAATGCAGCCATGATGAACAGAAGAAACTCCTTTAAAAACATTAAAAATCGTTCTGATCCCAAACTTTTGACTGGTATTGTATATTGAGACACTAAACAACGACAACGTGTCCATTTTGTCATGTCCATGTGGACTAACCGTATGGTCTGAACCCTTCTGAGCTGCGAAAATCTCCGTGTCCGGCAGCGTGTCGAATGGCGAAAGCGTCTCGACGTCCACGCTATCCAACATCTCGGTCAGAGCGGACAACAGCGACGCCTCGCTCTCAACGCTATCCGTCAGCATCTTCTCCTGAAAGATGGATAAAATAGACGGATCCAGGCTTCCGTGAAGAGCATCTGAGATCCTTCCGACATCCAGCTCGAAGACAGGAACATCGTGATTTCCAAATTCAACCTGTGGATAACACAAAACAATGTCGGATTCAGATCTCGCAGAATAAACTCTGGACTCGCTATTCCAGTAAAATCAAAGCTGTAAAGTCATTATGATAAGGAATTACAACAGTTCTACAATCCGTGAACTTCCGTTTTATTTCTACAGGAAAACTACAGGTAACTACAGGAAAGCACTTTACTGAATATAGTTTGTGAAAAAGGACATTGTTTAACTTAAATTATTTTACCCTGTAAATAATTTAAATTATGTTTGCCCATCAAAACACCATCATGCTGCCCTTAGAAAACTTTACCATGGTAACTACAGTCAAAATACCATAGTTACTACAGTAAAGCTGGACTTAATATAATCCACCAGTCATCAGAAAAAAAGATACTAAACGCTTCTCTCACACTGATTTCTAATTTAACGTACATTAGTAACAATACATGAATAACACATTAACGTTATATATATTTTAGTAGTTGTTGATAGTTTTAATAGAACTACTTACAAGAAAAGAAATGTGTAAATTTGAAATCTGTATATCGAAAACTTTTGGTACGCAAATAATGGATCAGTTTTGTTTAAATCAATTAATTTATTCTACTGCGTTTCAGTAATACAGTTGCTTACATAATTCCCGTTTGTTTTATGCAGTGCCGTTTTTGTTAAATAGAACTAAAACCACAAAAAACATCCTTGAAATAAACAAAAATAAAATATAAAACACTTAAACTTTAAACAAAAATGAGAAATGTTTCATTGGCAACTAGCTGAAATAAAATAAGTTTAAGTACTAAAACAACTAAAACTAAACAAAAAATTTAAATTTAATAAAAACTATATAGAACTATTTACCAGAAGAGAAAAGCGTAAATCTTAAATCTGTATCAAAAATGTGTCAACTTTCAGGAGCACACTAGGTAGTACACTAGCTCGAAGTTTACAGGCGTGTACTAAAGATCAAACTAAACTAATTGTTTATTCTGTAAATAGTTTTTGCCCAAAAATAAAAGCCTTCATTGTCAGACTCTGTTCCATGTTTTGTCTGTGTCTTGCTCCCCAGGTGTTCCTTTCCCATGTTTAATTTGTCCCAGGTGTTCCCCATGATGGTTCATGGATCCCAGGTGTGTCTCGTCATCCCCTCCTCCTGTGTGTGTGTATAAAAAGTGTTCCCAGTCCCAAGTTCTCTGTCCGCTGTTGTACGTCTTCCTGTAAACGTCTTTCTGAGTTCGTCTCCCTTGGTTCCTGAAAATAAAGTCTTGGTAAAAGTATTCTCCAGCGTCTCTTCGTTCCTCGTGTGTGTGCAACGTGACATTCATATTGTGAACCATATTAAGCCATATTAAAACTTTACCATGGTAACTATAGTCATTAAATCTGTAAATACTGAAAGCTTCTTACTATTTTTTACTATATAGTGAACATTTTTTATTTTACTTTTTCCATTTTGATTTACAGTAAAAACAATAAATTAAGAAATATAACATATGTTAACATATTTTATTAACTGTTGGAACTAAACGTTAATAAATAACTACTAGAAAAGAAAAATGTACATTTTTAATCTGTATAACAAAATAATGGAAACGTCCAGTAGTACACTAGCTCGAAGTTTACAGGCGTGTACTAAAGAACAAACTAAAATAATTGTGTTTATTCTGTAAATAATTTAAATAATCTTTGCCAAAAAATAAAAAAAGCCTTCAGATCGTGAACCATATTAAAACTTTACCATGGTAACTATAATCAAAATACCAAAATTACTACAATAAATCTGTAAATACTGAAAGCTTCTTTCTACTTTTTACTATATAGTGAAAAAATGACTTAATTTAATACAAATTTATTTTACTTTATATATTTTACTTTTTCCATCGGACAAATGACCGATTTCAGCCGCGGCTTGTATAGTGCAGGGGGCGGGGCTTCGGATTCTAGCGAGCATTTGATTGGACAGAAAGTTTTATGAGAAGCTGAAGTACGATGTGACGTCAAAAAAAAAAATCGTTGAGCCGTTTTGGCGGAAGTGACGAACTGCAAGCTTTGAACGCTTATATCTTCTAAATGTGAATTTTGTCACTGTTTTGGAGCACACTGCCTTATAGATAACCTTAAGACTAACATATTGATACTAACACCCAAAAAACTTTAATTTTGATTTCATGGGGACTTTAACATATATTTTATTAACTGTTGGAACCTAAAGTCAATAATAATTACTAGAAAAGAAAAATGTAAATTTTAAATCTGTATAACAAAAAAAATGGAAACGCTCAATAGTACACTAGCTCGAAGTTTAAAGAACAAACTAAAATAATTGTTTATTCTGTACATAATTTAATCTTTGCCCAAAAATAAAAAAAACAAAACAACTTCATATCGTGAACCATATTAAAACTTTACCATGGTAACTATAGTCAAAATACCAAAATTACTACAATAAGTATGTAAATACTGAAGCAAAACGTATTTTACTTTATATATTTTACTTTTTCCATTTTGATTTACAGTAAAAACAATAAATGAAGAAATATAACGTTAACATTTTATTAACTGTTGGATTTTTTTCTTTTTTATCTGTATAACAAAAAATGGAAACGTTCGGTAGTACACTAGCTCGAAGTTTACAAGCGTGTACTAAAGATCAAACTCAGCAAAACAATCCATTTCATTTTCTGGAGTCTTAATTAAGTGTGAATCATATTTGATGAATTCGGATTGAATCTTGATCTAAGAATGAACAGAATTCAGTGTGACTCTGTCAGACAGACAGGTGTGCGTCCTTTGAGAAGCGTGAGCATTATCTGACAATGAACATAAGCTTCAGTTATTATTAATAATTCATCCATCCATTCATTTATGCATTAAATATGAACACGAGCGGAAAAGATCGTGTAGAAGACTCGTTTGGTTCACTCATTTAATCGCGTTTCATACTGATTGAGTGCAGAAGCTGTCAAACAAACGCAGTGATATTACTCATTATTATGAACTTAAAGGATATGTTATTTTTGACACACAGTTATATATTTGCACGCCATATTCATAAACCAAATCGGTGTACGATCATTTAAACCGTTTATATGCTGAAACTGGATTCAAGAACCTCAATCAAACACTTAAACGACATCCCTCGACAAACTAAACCACCTTTGAGTCGTTAAGAAGATCTTAATAGCGCATTTCTCCAGATTTATAACGCGTGCATAACTTCACATCCGCCTCGAACACGCGCTGGCGTCCACGTGTTCACATGCCGAGCGTCATTTCTACACATGATCATCGCCACAGCGTCTTTATATAAACATCTGCAGGCATACAACAGAAACATATATGAGACCTGAGAGTCCCGGTGCGCCTGTGCTGCTGTATGGTCCGTAAAATCACACTTTAAATCCTTCGGTTTTACGCCATGCGGCGCCGCCATTTTGATTCGGAGAGAAGAGCTGCACAAGAGGCGCCGCCGGGTGAGTCACGTGATGCGGAGGTTCCCGGGAAAATGACAGCTCGCCTTGAATACGTTAAACAAAAAATGTCGTTGCAGTTGCTAGGCAACAACTTCCAACGGTCTAATCATTTTACCTCAGATTCGTTTTACTGTAAATTAGCAAAGTCACTTTAAGGCTTTGAAATTACTATTATTTTACATATTTTATTTGATTTGTGGCATCTAGTGGTCCATTTTGTCAGGTAGGGCAGATCGGCTATTAGGCTTTAATCAGTAACGATTTATTATTCATTTTCTGTCGATTCACATTGCTTTTATTTAATTAATTAGGGGCCGAATAATGGATTGTTTATTTAAAGTGGAATATTAATTTCTTCAACTCCTTATTTCGATAACATAACACACATTTAAATCAGCATTTCTGTATTGTTTTCTAGTAAAATATCAAGATCAATTTTGAGAAGAAATTTAACGTTACCATAAGATAATAAACTTTTGAGACTATTTCTTTCCATGAGCAGATTTGTTTTCACTTGTTTTAAGCACTGTTAATTACCATTAAATAAAACATAAAAACATTTTCATTACTTGAAATAAACATTGACTGAAATAAGATGAATTTAACTTAAACATATTTTATGTCAGCTAGTTGCCCAGACAACATTTCTAATTTTTGTTCATTTTAAGTTGAAGTACTAAAATAACTAAAACTAAAACTTAGTGAAAACGATATAGACATATTTAAAAAAAAAAAAACTAATAAAAATGACAAATACACAAATTAAACTAAAATTTAAAATGAAAACAGAAAATATAATAATAAAATCAAATTCAAAATATTAACAACAACAAAAAATAACAGTATATCTGTAAATAACACTGATTTTAGCCATAAACATCTCTAAATTTAGTTTAAAAAATATATATATTTATTGGTATTGGTAATTGATTTTAACTTAAAAGCTATAATAATAATTTAACAACACTGTTCAATGTAATGTACATTAGTATAATGCCTGCATTAATATGCAGCATTTAAAACGATTGATTTTGGTTTTTAGTGTTTTATTTTTCATTTATTTAGACAAAATTTAATGGTTATTGGCCATAACATGAAAATAATCATCAACATCTCTGTACTTGCTAATTTGAATATCGGTTCATCCCTAGTTAATGAGCTCATGATTGTGATTTGAAGATGAAGATTTCTTCATATTTAAGTCACCACAGATGAACAGAGCTGAACTAATATCTTCTTTCAGACTAGTGGAATGAAAATGTCCAGAATACACATTTTAAGTGTTTATTTTATTACACTATCTATTTGCATCTGTAGTATCTACATATCTAAGTCGTTAAAAGTTGTTTTCTCAAAATGACTTTTATTTTCACTTCAGCAGCACTTACAAACACCAAACTTAGCAGTTTTATTCCTGTCTATATTCTGAAGAATTTTACTGAGGGGTTTGTACGTATATCATTCATAAAAAGGATTTTTTATTCCTAAAAACATGGTGAAAATGTATTTTTTCTGTATGTTTCACAGTATTTTCTGATTTATGGAGTGATAAAATGATATATCTAAAATCCCTTCTGTAAAAATCTTCAACTCTAATATGTCAACAAAATCAAACAAGAATTTTGGACCTGGCTTTATCCAATGTTCAGATTTATGTTCTGGAAATGTATGCGAATTAGATCATAATTAATGAGATAATGCATCGTTTCTGCATTTAAACATAACATTTAAGAACTTGTAATACAAAAAAGTCTGCAATTCTTAATGTAATCAATCAACTAGGGAAATTATGTCTATGGAGGCCAAATATAACTCCATAATTCAGAAAATACTGTCAACAATATTCACCATAATAAAATTCACCATAAAAATTCACCATATTTTTAGGAATAAGTATAAATGTATAAATCAGTGTGAATGATATATCGACAATCCCCTCAGTAAAAACCTTCAGAATATAGAGAGGAATAAAACTCTAAGTTTTGGTGTTTGTAAGTGCTGCAGAAGTGGAGAAAAAACTCTTTAAAGATATATATTGAAATTGAGATCTACAGATAAAGTGCAATAAAATAAACTCTTAAATGTGTATTTTGGATGTTTTCTTTACACTAGTCTTCAAAATTGAGATTTATGCATCATCTGAAGCTGAATAAATAAGCTTTTTATTGATGTATGGTTTGTTATGATCGGACAATATTTGGCTGAGATACAACTATTTGAAAATCTGGAATCTGAGGGTGCAAAAAAATCTAAATATTGAGAAAATCATCTTTAAAGTTGTTCAAATGAAGTTCTTAGCAATGCATATTACTAATCACAAATTAAGTTTTGATATATTTACGGTAGGACATTTACTAAATATCTTCATGGAACATGATCTTTACTTAATATCCTAATGATTTTTGGCATAAAAGAAAAATCTATCATTTTGACCCATACAATGTATTGTTGGCTATTGCTACAAATATACCCCAGCGACTTAAGACTGCTTTTGTGCTTCAGGGTCACATATGATGAAAGCAAAATAGACCAAAATCTCAAAATTGACCAGAACACGATAACAATGTTTTCGCCTGTGACATAATTTCAGTAAAGAGCATTATATTACATTATTTTACTCAAAGAACAAGGAAAGTCCTGTTTTCCAAAGTCAGTAGAGCATTATTCTCAGATGTTCCGATGTTAATTCTTCCTCTCTTTCTCTCTCTCTGAGAAACGGGGTCAGCGTGTCTTGTGAAGCAGAAGGGAGCTCTGTGAAAGTGGGTCACCTTCCGGATCCATCCGGACCCTGCTGCCACCGTTTCTCCTGAGAGATCTCCATTATCTGCACACACACAGGTAGATCCGCTCACCTCCAGCAGACAGTCACAGAGCTTCCTCCTGTTCCTCTCGCTTCACCCTCCTCTTCCCTTGTTTCCAGTATCGGTGGCCTCTTTGGCAGGAAACCCAGAAAGCCTCTCAAATGAAATGTAGAAGAGAGAAAGCATGCACACACACAAACAAACACAAACACACACTTTTCGTTTCCCTCAAGCTAGTGTATTCTTTAACATTTATTCCTTTTGTTAGTGGGTAGAAATGAAGTTCATAAACTACGATTTAAAGTGACTGTTCATTGAAAAATGAAAATTCTGTCATGGTTTACTCATCCTTAAGTTGTTCCAAACCTGTATGAGTTTCTTTCTTATGTTGAACACAAAAGAAGATGTTTTGAAGAATGTTGATAACCAAACGGTGCCCATTGA